ACCAGAGATTGACTCCCCAAAAACCGACTTATAGGCGAGTATATACGACAGTTTTATTGGCCAGCGGTTTTGGTGGTTACAGTTTTCTATTGTTCAATGTGATGTGCGGGGGCACTTCCTTCTCGCAGGGAAAGCCAACGATACCGGCTGTGAGACAAGTCTGTCTCGACCTTTACATATTCAACAACATACATTATTTTGTGTTTTACAAGATTAGTATACAGACCACATTCATTTTAGTATACATGTAATATAAATTTGAACAACTTGTTACCAGCCTCTTAAAGCAGTCAGCCTAATTCCATAAATTGGTACGCTATAGGAATTATTACTTGTTTTTTAGATTTTTGATATACTTTGATAAATTATTCAAACTTACGTACATTTCTATCTACTAGTAAACAGTATTCTGTAAATCAAAAGAGTTATTTCCCATTTTACACATTCATAAAATTGGAACATTTATAACCTGTTAAATCTATTTTTATTTAAATCCGTGTCGATGTATAAGGACTGCATTAAACTGAATATATTGTTTGATGTCATTTACTTATTGTATTTTATTTCTTATAGGGCTGATATTTTCATTTTATTGATTGTTTATATGTGGAACAAGATCCTGGCAATAAAGAATCCATACCCCAATACACTGTGTTCATCATTCATCAATATGACACGGTCACAATAGTCGTTTATGTTTTTATTTCATATAATATCTCACTTGAAGAGCATGACTGTATTCTATAAATTACATACAATTTTACGTTGATCCTTGCATACCACAAAGTAAGAGCAAAATCTGTGGAGTTTTGATGACATTCAGGCTTTGACATCTTACTTTGAATTATGTTCTTAAACAAGACACGTGACATCTACTTAGACATACCTGTATCTATGTGAGTCAGTGACTTGGGTTTCTGATGGCAGGACCCCATATAGATTGGCTCTAACTCTCTGCTGGCCACCACCTTAACAGAATTAGATATTGATTAAAATTTCTTAGTTTTGTACAAAGATGTTTGAAATTATAGTTTTATAAACACGCACTTGAAAAATTTCTTTTCAGCAAATAAATATGTACATGTACACTTCAGTTATTTTGATATATTCTTACTTGAGAGCAGAATGTGATCTATTACTCCTCTAAGCACCAGTTGAAGGGAGGAAGCAAATTGGGTTCGTGACCCTGACACTTGACCCCATGACCCTGTTTGACCTTGACCTGCTGTGGAGTCAAGCATTGTGAGGAAGTGTGAGGTTTGGTCGTCGGTGACAGAATCCCCCCAGTGTTTCGGCCCCATTTTGATATTCGTTCGATTTTCGATCCCAATTTATATTTTGATTTGTAAATTGCGTTCATATATTTTTTTGTGTTTATGTTATGTGTTAAATGAGTTAAGACAAAGTTGAATTTTCATAATCTGATAATTGTAATTCAATCATATAATGTTTTTTTTTTTCAATTGGGCTGTGTCACATTTCACCGAGTTCATCCCATGGCACTAATCATGCTAATGTAAACACAGATTATCACCACGAAAGGTGATAATTGCTTTGAAGTAACTCACTGACAGGTTTGGCCGGATTAGAAGGAATGATTACCGTTAATTATGAGCAGTTTGGACCAGTATGGCTGTTCGGAATACAGAATAGACAGTATCCGGACTACACAGAATTTTTTCTAATGAATTTGTTAAAGAAGTGCATGGGACTAAAATTTATAAACATCCGGAGTACTCAGAGTCCGGATTAGACAAATTTTACTGTATATCAGATCATTCTCACCCCAATTTCACTTCTCTATGGGACCCTAGTTACCCTCTCCCTCTGGTAAGTGGATTCTCTCTCTCTCTCTCTCCACACTACAGAGTACATACCCTTGTCCCTCTCTCTCTCTCTCTCCACACAATTTTAACATACCCTCCTCCTCTGGTAAGTGGATTGTCTTCTCCACCTTTTTTTCTGGTTCCTCCACTTCCAGACATTCCATAAATCCGTGGAGCAGCTCCAGATGAGAGGTCTGGAATTATAAGGAATTTTATGTGATACAATAAATTAATGTAAACCAAGAATTACATGGCATAAGATTTCTAAAGAACCCTAATAACAATCTAGCGTACCCATTTATCTAATTCTGGAACTAGACACAGTGTACTATGTACTAGCATCTTTTTCAGTGTCAACCAGACTGGAAATAATTCTCAGTTCAAGGAGGATTCAGAGCTTTAAAAAAATGTTCATCTTGGTGTCTTAATCAAACTATACTGTTACCTGATGTGATGTGAACAGATTGACGAGAGCCACTAGGACAGAGCAGTGACACACGCGATACGGGATCTTCATGGCTGACTGGGCATGCTCAGGAAGAGGAATGTTGAACTGTATAAACCTACAAGATTATAAAACACCAATTGTGATCATGATCACACAATATAGCATCATAAAATTAATGTTTCTTACAACTTCCATTCTTTATAAGACTTGAATGACTAAAAGCAATAAAACTTTCATATTATTCAAATAAATTAAATGTTTTGCTTATTATTTTTGTTACTTTTATAGACCTACTTTGTGACATTAACGAGGTGGTCGGCTTTCCCGCTGCGTGGATTAATACTCAGGAGAAGACGATCAATGGCTGACACCATAGCGGAGGCTCCCGTCTCACGACACACGTCCAGGAACGTCCCCGACTTCTCCAGACTGGTCTCTATCAGCTGTAAACACAGCAGACTGGCAGACTCCAATGACTCCTGTCCTGTACAGATCAACCAATCATATCAACTCTCTTAGCATCAGTCAATACAATCAACCAATCAAATTAATTCTCTTAGCATCAGTCAATACAAACAACCAATTAAATTAACCCTCCTACTCCCCTAGCATTGGCCAGTAATATCAAACAATCAAATTACCTCACATAACATTATGTAGTCCATCCAACCAATCAAATTAACTTATTTAACATTTGCCAGTTCAATCAACCAAACAAATTTAAACACTTTACAAAACAAATAAAAACACCTGAATTTCTTTAATCACTATTTACCTGGTATAGCCTTGTATGTTTTAAGTTATGGGACACTGTCATCAAGTATTTTCAACACCTGAAATATGTAACTTCAATCCTTAACAATACAAAGCACATATGTCTCCATCTCCCAGCCCAATTTTAAAAAAAATTCTCAATAAAGATATCCATTTGAGCAGGAAAATATATGAATCTCACCGTGGACAGGAAGTGGGAGTCCTTCAGTAGGTGTAGCATCAGGATGTACCCCGGGGACTTGTTAGCGGGCACCATGCCCCCCATCTGTACCTCAAACAACTCCTCCCCAAAGTCCCTCCCCACCACCTCATACTCCCGCAGGAGCTTACATAGGATCCTCAGACAGTCACTGGCCACCTCCCACTGTAAACAAAGCTTTACATTTATACTTGAAAGAAATCAATCCTGCAGTTGTATACATGGGATTCTTGAACAGTCACTAGCAACTTAATTACCTTTGGCAATAAATCACACACAATAACCACATTTCAATTAATATCAATGCAAATGACAGATACAATTCTAAAATCAGAAGTCTCTGTCAAGACTGAAGCTCTACTGGTTTGTACTTATAACAAAGAATATAACAAGACATTTCTAGTTTTAGTAACAATGGTAACACTGTTCATTGAAATAAAAAACCGATGCTCTATTTTATGTATCTTAGTGTAGTCTACTTGTGTGCCAAGTTATATTAAAATCAGACCAAAACTGTAGAAGGTCAGTAGCGTTTAAAAATATTGTTTACAGTCAGACGGACAGCTAGACAGACAGACAGACGACGGACACCATACTATTGCATAAGCTCTTCTGGTCTGTGACCAGTAGAGCTAATAAAAAATTTATTGTTTCAATCTCTTTCTACCTTTTTTGTCTGTGTATTGTTCATTTTCGTCTGTAATTTTTTTCTTTACTTGATGGTAGTACAGTGTATGTATTTATCAACAAGATTGAAAAAAACATTTTAAAAAATCTTATATCCAACCTTTTCTGATTCTTGTAACTGCTGGCGTAAAACTTCTCAAACATTCTTGATAAACTCTAGGTAATATATATAGGGCTGAAATCCTGGGGCCCTGAGACCTGCCCCGAGTCCCGGGGGAACGGGAATGTCAGTGAGGGAGTCCAGTAAGGACAGGAAAGCTCGCGTCATGGGAAATTTCTCCGCTCGGATCTCTACCTCCTTCAGCTCCACCTATAGGGAAAAAAAGACATCAAAGGTACATAACTCTAACAAGCTTGAGAGACACAATTAGGGAATACCGTATATACTCGCCTATAAGTCGGATTTTTGGGAGTTAATTTCTGGTCCAAAACTCTATGTCCGACTTATAGGCGAGTTATAAAATGAATGGTATTATATGAAGTCAGTACCTTGATTTTTAAGCTTATTAAATACAACCGACTTATAGGCGGACCGACTTATAGGCGAGTATATACGGTAACTATCTTCTAATTTGGTATTTGCGACCGTTAATGCTGATTTAACGGTCGCAAACTGAGTTTTACCGGCAACGCGTAAGAGGAGCCGGTAAAACGGATGTTTTCGACCATTAAATCAGCTTTAACGGTGGCAAATACCAAATTAGAAGTTAAGTTATTCCCATTCTAATGCAATCAATGCATTTTGTCTATTGTTTACGTCTTATTTTGTTGAATTTTGTTACATGAAATACGTCATGGAGCAATAATTTTTGCGTCGCTCTATTATGACGTTACAATGAAAAAGCTTTCACGCTCGTTAATGCTCGTTTTACTGCTTCAAACATAAGTGTATCAGCCAATCAAAGAGTGTTTTACTAAACAATTGCATTAGAATATGTAATTACTAGTGTATTGATCTCTAGATAAATTTCTATGTGTACAGCAAGATTTAGTTCTGTTCTTTTTAGGCTGAAGAATTATAAAAAAGAACAGAGATTATTCAACCTGAGAAAACAAATTAACATTTACCTGGATTCCACTTTGAGAGGAACTGCTGCTCTGAACTGTGATCAGATTCTTAAAAACAAATTAATAACCAAATTAATATAGTAAAACCACATACATGTACATACAGTATAATATAGGGAAAACGAGAGGAGACGTGCAAGTCAATGCAATAAATACACTTAACATCAATAAAGATACAGTAAAGAGCAGTATTTCAGTGGTTTACCTGTGAGGCTTCCAGTGTATGCCACAGGCTGGCTGCCATGTCCGGCGTCTTGGCGAACGCTGCCAGCACCCTGAAGATCTCGGCTTTAAGGTCAAAGGGGATACTACTGGTCACCAGACCAAATAATAACACCGCCACCTGCCACTGATGGTTCTCACAGAACGCCACACGGCAGTTCTCATTCTGTAACATATATATAAGATGTCGATTTTTCTGGTGTAAGATAGTAATCTGCCATTTATGCAGATTTCGAAATAAGATTCCCCTTTTAAAAGTCTTTATTACTTCCTATGCTTTAATTCAGGAATATTAAAATTGATATAAACTCATTGTTATACCTTTAAAATGTGTTCCTATACAAATCTATACAGAAAAAAGTCTAACATTTTTAATGTTTTGCTGAGCGGGCATAAAAAAATCGATGTTTGACCGCTGAGTGAGATGTTGGACCACTCGGAGAGATGTTGGACCGCTTACGTCACAGGATGGGCGGAGCTTAATCTCATTTTCATTCGTTGGTGTTAAACAGTGACAGATCTGATGTTACATTACGGAATATAGTACAAAATACATTTATGTCAAAAAATATAAATTAAAATGAAAGGTATAACAAAACATTTATTGACAGAGTTCTCGGGCAAAATGCGTTTTGTAGGACCCTCGAACCAAACTGTCTGCCTTCGGCCTAACGGCCTCAGGCAGACAGTTTGGTTCTTGGGTCCGACAAAACGCATGTTGCCCTCGAATTCAGTCAATAAATGTATATTATTCAATACAACTTAAAAATAATACAGACCCATTATTATCATGCCTTAATAACAAACTACAATGAATTATGGGTTGATCAAATCAAAACCCTTGGCTATTAAAGTATAATTATTTTTTTTATCTGATGATGAACAAATGTACTCACATATTCAGACAGTTTCAGGACGACCACCAGCCCCTCTAGTTCCTGTGGGGTGATTCCCCGGGGGTGGGGACCTCGGAGTCCCATGTGAGACATGTCAGCACCGCTAGGAACCTCCCGACGTAAACTGGCGTAGTACTGATTCAGTGACAGGAAAATGTGCTGCCACGAAACGGCACTGGCTGGGCCTCCTAGTGTAAAAAATACTCATATAAGACAAGTTCAGGCAAACCATGTTAATTTTTTAGAACAAGAAATTACTTTGAGATATCAATGGTAAAATACTTAAAGAAAAAAGGAAATGGGTCATTCTTTTAATTACTTTGACTTACTTATATCCAAGGTATTCATTCAAGATACAAAACTTCTGTTGTATATTTTAGGAACAGATTCATATGGTAAATTAAGAAAGCTCAGTGCTTGCTGGAATCAATCACGCTCTAAAACTTTTAAATTGTCTTTTTACATCTGTGACTGCAGGTTAGACCGTTTGACAGCACACAAAAACATCTGTCTTTAGAACAATTTTAGAAACACAATTCCACTGAAGCTATCCAAGTTCCCTACCTGTTGTCTTTTCCATTTAAAGCACTAGTAACAGTACATAAAGACATCTGCCATTAGAACTTCTTTAGATACACAATTCCACTGAAGCTATCAGAAATTCTAACCTGACCCCTTCCCATTGACCTTCAGAAGGTCAAAGCAGTAGAGGGCAGACTGTGGGTTACTGCTAAGACCGATCAACATCTGGATGTAAGGTATGTAGAGGGAGGGGGCAGGAAGTCCCCCGCCAGACGGACAAACTTATACAGCGACACCTGTAATGTAAATCAGACCAATCAACATCTGGATGTAAGGTAAATAGAGGGAGGGGGGCAGGAGGTCCCCCGCCAGACGAACAAACTTATACAGTGACACCTGTAATATAAAACAGACCAATCAACATCTGGATGTAGGGTACGTAGAGGGAGAGGGGCATGAGATCCCCCGCCAGACGGACAAATTTTTTCAGCGACACCTGTAATATAAAACGGACCAATGAACAACCTGATGTAGGGTACGTAGAGGGAGGGGGGCAGGAGGTCCCCCGCCAGATGGACAAACTTTTACAGTGACATCTGTACAATTGTAACATAAAACATACAGTCTATGTACATTCCCTACTTATGTAAGCCTAAAATCCTTCTCTTTTCTAAAACTTGATAGAAGATTATTTTTTCTTTGCAGATTTTAATTTTTATCTACCTGTCTTTGTGGACGTTGAACATTGTACATCGTCTCATGAGGTCGGTAATTATCCTGGGGACACCAGTACTCTACAGACAGTCTCAGTCCCAGGGGGTCACTTCTGTATAAATCTCCAATCTGACAATACATGGTAGGATTTTATGTTGCATCATACCACAGATCATCAATATTGATAATGGCTTTCATGGTGATTTCTACAAGAAAGATAAGATAAAACTGATATGTTAACAATTTAATCAATTTTGAATTTAAATCTCAAAATTTTTAAAGAAATTCTATCATTATCTATTAATTTCTATGGAAACAATTATTATACATCTAAGCCAGAGTTATCTCTCTTGTCAAACAGTCAGTATAAACCTTATAATTATGTTCATACAAGCAGTACAGGCTAGCAACAGATACGCACCAGTTTCAGTAAGTACGTGAAGCCATGACTGGGTGACGTGGGAGTTATCTCTCTTGTCAGAGGGTCAATAAACCTTAATCATGTTGATATAAACAGTAAACACTAGGGACCATTACATACCAGTCTCAGTAAATACTGGAAGCCATGACTGGGTGACGTGGGAGTTATCTCTCTTGTCAGAGGGTCAGTAAACCTTAATCATGTTGATATAAGCAGTAAACACTAGGGACCATTACATACCAGTCTCAGTAAATACTGGAAGCCGTGACTGGGTTACGTGGGAGTTATCTCTCTTGTCAGAGGGTCAATAAACCTTAATCATGTTGATATAAGCAGTAAACACTAGGGACCATTACATACCTGTCTCAGTAAGTACTGGAAGCCATGACTGGGTGACGTGGGAGTTATCTCTCTTGTCAGAGGGTCAATAAACCTTAATCATGTTGATATAAGCAGTAAACACTAGGGACCATTACATACCAGTCTCAGTAAATACTGGAAGCCATGACTGGGTGACGTGGGAGTTATCTCTCTTGTCAGAGGGTCAATAAACCTTAATCATGTTGATATAAGCAGTAAACACTAGGGACCATTATACCGGTCTCAGTAAATACTGGAAGCCATGACTGGGTGACGTGGGAGTTAACTCTCTTGTCAGAGGGTCAGTAAACCTTAATCATGTTGATATAAGCAGTAAACACTAGGGACCATTACATACCTGTCTCAGTAAATACTGGAAGCCATGACTGGGTTACGTGGGAGGTTCTAGGGAACTCTTGGACGCCACGATTCTCGCCGCATCTCTTGTAAGCAGCTCTTTCATCTGTGAATCATACAGAATAAAGTTCCTTTAAAAGACTATATTAAAATTTGAACAATATATAAATCTTACCACTTCATAAAGGGTTCGAACTGACTTAAATTTTCCTTTCTCTTTTTCACATGAGCAAAATTTTTCAGATATATTTTAATTACTTTAATCAATATTTATTTCAAAATTTACAACCATAGAAAAGAACTTATTTTTCAGACAAAGTTAGCCATGCAAAATTTGCACTGTTTTGTCATCAAATTCATTAACAATTAGTTTAGGTGTCACTTAATTATAATTACGTACATACCTTCAGTGGCATGTGAAAAATAAAGTCTGTAACCAGCCTTTGGACTTTCTTTAGATAATATTCCTACAAAACAAAAACAATATGCTATTTAATAGTTCCAACCCTGTTAGGATATTAAGAATCCAGTCTGAAGAGTCAAAATAATGATTTGTCAAACAACTTCTTATTTGACTTGCTGCTGAATTACAAATGTGTAAATTTTGATGTCAACTTGAAATATACACCAAATGCCCTACCTCTTTATGGAAATCATGTACGGCTACAACAGCCAGTCGCAGGAAGTGGAACACGTTAGCTTCCAGGGCCTCATTAATAACCACCCCATCCTCTTCACAAATTCCAATCACCCCTACAAATCAAGTTCATGTAAATCAAGAGCGAGTCATCCTTAGATATCAATAAAGCCCAAAATGAGTTTACAGTTCATTTACAACATATCTTAAAGCACTTATGACTATCTTGCCATATCAAATTCATTCATGATGTATTAGGACATACATGTACCAAGGTAGAAATATCAACTCTAAGGCAGGCACCATAAAGGATGTATTAATCTTCTGATTGACATGTTTTAACCATGCATGTGTAATAAACCAATAGTAGGTTTCCCAATCAAGACCTGAGTTTTCTAATAATTCTATAGTGCTGCTCTTTGTCTCATTTTCAAACTTTACCTTGATTTTTTAACTAAGACCTGAGTCACTTGTCCAGATAAAAGGTCCAGGTCAAGCTTTTTAATAAAATTTAATATTTAACTGTTCCTAGGGAGTGGGGTCATTTTTTAATATATAGATTTAATATTTTACATGTGCAGGTTTGGGTGTGACTTTCATTAGATTTGATATTTTACCTGTGGGGTGGGGGTGGGTGGGAGGGGTACACCTTAAGAGTATATTAGATATTTTACCTGTGAGGTTTTGGTGTGACCTTTGATGACATTAGATATTTTACCTATGGGGTTTTGGTGTGACCTTTGATAAAATTACATATTTTACCTGTGGAATTTAGTGTGACCTTTGATCAGATTAGATATTTTACCTGTGGAATTTAGTGTGACCTTTGATGACATTAGATATTTTACCTATGGGGTTTTGGTGTGACCTTTGATGACATTAATATTTAGATATTTTACCTATTGGGTTTTGGTGTTACCTTTGATAAGATTAGATATTTTACCTATGGGGTTTTGGTGTGACCTTTGATGACATTAGATATTTTACCTGTGGAATTTAGTGTGCGCCCTTTGATCAGATTAGATATTTTACCTGTGGAATTTAGTGTGATCTTTGATCAGATTAGATATTTTACCTGTGGAATTTAGTGTGACCTTTGATCAGATTAGATATTTTACCTATTGGGTTTTGGTGACCTTTGATGACATTAGATATTTTACCTGTGGAATTTAGTGTGACCTTTGATGACATTAGATATTTTACCTGTGGAATTTAGTGTGACCTTTGATCAGATTAGATATTTTACCTGTGGAATTTAGTGTGCGCCCTTTGATTAGATTAGATATTTTACCTATTGGGTTTTGGTGTGACTTTTGAATAGATTAGATATTTTACCTGTGGGATTTTGGTGTGACCTTTGACCAGATTAGATATTTTACTTATGGGGTTTTGGTGTGACCTTTGAATAGATTAGATATTTTACCTATGGGGTTTGGTGTGACCTTTGATCAGATGTCAGAAATTTTACCTGTGGGGGTCTGGTACTGATTGAGTTGTCTGAGGGTCACCCCCCAGGCTAGTAGCATCACACCCTTCTGTCCAGGGTTTGTCCAGACTCGCGTCGACATGAGATCCTGGTGTATGTCAGGTACGTAGGTCAAGTCAGTCATCATTGGTAGACGCTGCAGGACCTTGATCTGTAAATGTCAAAAGTCATGAACTTTAACCTTTTTATTTCATTTTTAAATTGATAATTCTTATTATTTCAAAGCAATTACTTAAGAAAGATTGACATGTATATTGCCAAAAAAAGTTCAAACTTGATTTTTTCAAGATTTTTCAAATCAATTGAGTTATACACAGCATTAATTTATGAATAATAAAATTATATGGTTTGTGAAATGATGAATAAATTATCAGGGATCGACTAACCTCTTCCATCTTCATGTTCCAGTAAACTGACATCAAAACAGTACAGGAGGGCCATTAACAGACACAGACTCACAGGGTCCAGGGTGCCATCTGCACTCAGAGTTGTCTGCCCTTAGGTACTGAATCAGCCTTAAGGTGTCAGCTTTCTCCAGGGGCTGTTGTGTGGTCAGACAGAAAAGGCAGTCAGGTCCATATTGTTTAACTGATCTGCCAAAAAAAAAATCATGCGCTTCCCAATGACTTGGAATAAGTCACACTTACTCAGGTAATTTAAAAGTATAAATATTAGTTAAAAATCTACCCAATCGAGTCAATATACCAGTCAAAATTTTAATACAGCTGTTTCCTAGTACACAATAGTGTTAATGGGCCGATCTTTCTGAGTCAGTTGAACCTTTCTCTGCATTCTTGTGATTTTTTTTTTTTGATTTGACGCCAATGTGAAACATAATTTTTTCAATCTTGATCCCGATGAAAATATGATTTCTTAATATTTGAACGTATAGGCATTCCGCGCGTTTTGTGCCCCCTCAAGTTCTTCTTTAAAGTATTTTTAATCATGAGTTTAATCATGGAGAAGGATATGGAGATAACGAACAGTATTCAATCTCAAAGTCGATAAAACGATACAAAATATATGTGGGACATCAGAGGTGGGATCAGGTGCCATGGAGGAGAGAGCATCCCCTGCCGACCGGTCACACCCGCCGTGTACTTCTTGTCATGATCAGGAAATAACGGAAAAATCCGTCATCAATTCACTGTATGAATAATGTGCTAACATTTAGTATGAAAAACGTCAGTCGTTTTTTAACTCTATGATAAATTGTATTTGCTGACAAGGTCATTGTATTGACCATAGAAATTATGAAATGAAGACTTTAAACGTGACGGCTGATATTCTTGTTTCATCAACTTGTTTGTCAATAATTTATCTCGGTTTAGAAATTGTTCATACGAACAGCAAATTCTTGCGTATCGAATCAACTGAGATAAATACACTCCATATGTAGGTGATGAAGGTATATTGATGCATAAGTAAATAAGGGAAATTGACGATAGAGAAGTTAAAGTAATCACGTTTATCATATAGCTTGGTCGTTAGATTACCAGTAACGTCTTTGTCGAGTAAAATATCCTATTGCAAGTATGAAACAGAAGTGTCGGACTCTGTGGTATCTTTTATCTCTAGCTCATCAGGATATATCGTATCAACGTAAGAATGGAAATTACCATTGTTAATTAACAATACGTCGTCGATATATCTTAATGTCGAGTTGGAGGCCATAGCAACTGTTTCCTTCTTTTGCTTCTAAGACTTTGCACAAATTCTGCTACATATGAATATAAAAATAGGTCTGCTAATAATAGAGCGCAATTGGTACCCATAGGAATTCCAATAGATTGTAGGAAAACCTGGTATCCAAAAAGCACATAGATATTGTCGAATAGAAACTCAAGCGCCCTTTTGATGTCAACTTCAGAGTACTTGTGTGTGCAATCAGCATGGCATTGCGTTTTAACAAAGTAATTTTGCGAATGACCAATAACTAGTAAGTAAATTTACGAGTCCAATTTTTATCAAAAAAGGCAGCTGTCAATGATGTCAAAAAGCCTGGGTTTAAATTTTTCGTGGGGAATGGTTGTCATATGAACAATAATAATGTTGTGCTTGTCTCCAAACAATCAGCCAGAACTGCTGCTGGACTCTTTGTTTTGAGATTGTCGTTCTCTGCTGGACTCTTTGTGTTGAGATTGTTGTTATCGAGGCGCTGGACTCTTTGTGTTGAGATTGTCGTTATCTGTTGGACTCTTTGTGTTGAGATTGTCGTTATCCGTTGCCTGTTGGACTCTTTGTTTTGAGATTGTCTTTATCTGCTGGTCTCTTTGTGTTGTGATTGTCATTATCTGCTGGACTCTTTGTGTTGAGATTGTCGTTATCTGTTGGACTTTTGTGTTGTGATTGTCATTATCTGCTGGACTCTTTGTGTTGTGATTGTCATTATCTGCTGGACTCTTTGTGTTGAGATTGTCGTTATCTGTTGGACTTTTGTGTTGTGATTGTCATTATCTGCTGGACTCTTTGTGTTGTGATTGTCATTATCTGCTGGACTCTTTGTGTTGTGATTGTCATTATCTGTTGGACTCTTTGTGTTGAGATTGTCGTTATCGGCTGGACTCTTTGTGTTAAGGTAATGTCGTTATCTGTTGGACTCTTTGTGTTGAGATTGTCGTTATCTGCTGGACTCTTTATGTTAAGGTAATGTCGTTATCTGCTGGACTCTTTGTGTTGTGATTGTCATTATCTGCTGGACTCTTTGTGTTGTGATTGTCATTATCTGTTGGACTCTTTGTGTTGAGATTGTCGTTATCTGTTGGACTCTTTGTGTTGAGATTGTCGTTATTTGTTGGACTCTTTGTGTTTAGGTAATGTCGTTATCTGTTGGACTCTTTGTGTTGAGATTGCCGTTATCTGTTGGACTCTTTGTGTTGAGATTGTCGTTATCTGTTGGACTTTTGTGTTGTGATTGTCATTATCTGCTGGACTCTTTGTGTTGTGATTGTCATTATCTGTTGGACTCTTTGTGTTGAGATTGTCGTTATTTGTTGGACTCTTTGTGTTGAGATAATGTCGTTATCTGCTGGACACTTTGTGTTGAGATTGTCGTTATCTACTGGACTCTTTGTGTTGAGATTGTCGTTATCTGTTGGACTCTTTGTGTTGAGATTGTCGTTATCTGTTGGACTCTTTCAGTTGAGATAATGTCGTTATCTGCTGGACACTTTGTGTTGATGTTGTCGTTATCTGTTGGACTCTTTGTGTTGAGATTGTCGTAATCTGTTGGACTCTTTGTGTTGAGATTGTCGTTATCTGCTGCACTCTTTGTGTTGAGATTGTCGTTATCTGTTGGACTCTTTGTGTTGAGATTGTCGTTATCTGTTGGACTCTTTGTGTTGATGTTGTCGTTATCTGTTGGACTCTTTGTGTTGAGATTGTCGTTATCTGTTGGACTCCTTGTGTTGTGATTGTCGTTATCTGCTGGACTCTTTGTGTTGATGTTGTCGTTATCTGTTGGACTCTTTGTGTTGAGATTGTCGTTATCTGTTGGACTCTTTGTGTTGAGATTGTCGTTATCTGTTGGACTCCTTGTGTTGTGATTGTCGTTATCTGCTGGACTCTTTGTGTTGATGTTGTCGTTATCTGTTGGACTCTTTGTGTTGAGATTGTCGTTATCTGTTGGACTCTTTGTGTTGATGTTGTCGTTATCTGTTTGGCTCTTTGTGTTAAAGGTACTTAGACACAGATTTGAAGTTCATATTTTCTCTATTTTTCTCTATAATATTACGACTTATATATTTCAAAAGCATTGCACACAAAAATTAATTAGAAATCTTATTTCATTTAACAGTTATTAAAACTTAAAATTTTTTGGCGTGTTTGATTGACACATTCTTGCACTTTCACAAAATTTTAACTTTATTCTTAATCCTTAGGAAAAGTGGCAATCTTGTTGTGTACTATTGAGAAATATTAAAACTTAAATCCAGAAAAATAATTTTATTCAGAGTAGAAATGTTAGAAAGCAAAACTCCTTTACAAGTATCGTCATTCCGAACTAAGAGTTGCGTACATAGTTTAGCAAATTGAGCAAACTCGATCGTGTTATGTACACAGTTTTTGTAAACAGGGCAAGAGCTTTGTTGTTGTTTTGTATTTACGATTCACCGGGTGCGTTGAATCGCCAAAGTCTGTTCACTACAACCGCACGGACTGACAATAAATCGTGTGTTTGCTTTGCTTTCGAACATGTCTACTCTGAATTTTTTGGATTATAGTATTAACATTTTTCATTAATACACAACAAGATTGCCACTTTTCCTAAGGATTAAGAATAAAGTTAAAATTTGTGAAAGCGCAAGGATGTCAATCAAACCCGCCAGAAAATTTAAAGTTTTAATAATTGTTAAATGAAATAAGATTTTTAATTAATTTTTGTGTGAAATGCTTTTTTAAAATATATAAGTCGTAATATTATAGAGAAAAATAGAGAAATTATGAACTTCAAATCTGTGTCTAAGTACCTTTAAATTAAATAAGCAGTAACTTATATTTAATTCTAGTTAAACTGTCTGTGTGAATAGAGCAGGGTATGTTTGATCCTGTCTCAATGCTCATTAGAATCGTTTTTAGGACATATGAGTAAACTCAGGTGACCTATTGCTATCCGTTTTCGTCCGTCGTCGTCCGTCGTGTGTTAACATTTGAACATTTTCAGCTTCTTCTCTACAACCACTGAACCAATTTCAACCAAATTTGGCACAAAGCATCTATGGGTGAAGGGGAACAAAAATTGTGAATTTTATGATTCCTGCCCCCCTTGGGCCTGAGGGGTGGGGCCAAAACCACTAAAATTAATGCAATCTTTAAAAAATCTTCTTCTTTACTCCTGGACATCAAGCAGTCAAACTATTTGCATCTTTGTAATCAGCATTGAGTCCTCTACTAAAACTGTGAAATTCATGACCCTGGGGTCAGGGGTTCTAGTGCTAGGGCGGGGCTAAATAAGTATATAGTGAAAATGCATTATTTCTTTGAAAATCTTCTTCTCTGTTCCTGGGTATAAAATAAACCAACTAAGTAGATAATTACATGTATGATGAGCAAGAGTGCCTCTTCCAAAATTGTGAATTTTATGGCCCGAGGGTCAGGGGATGTGGTGTTAGGATGGGACTCTATTGATTATATATTGTGAAAATACATGATTTCTTTGAAAATCTTCTCTGTCCCTTTGTATTAAATAAACTTACTAAGTGCATAGTTATAATGAGCAAGAGTTGGGGGGAGGGCTCTATTGATTATATAGTGGAAATACATGAATTCTTTGAAAATCTTCTTCTCTGCTCCTAGGTTTCAAATAAACTAACTAAGTGCACAGTTATGATGAACAAGAGTGCCTGAACCAAAATTGTGATTTGTATGGCCCCAGGGTCAAGGGTTTTGGTGTGTGTGTGGGGGGGGGGGGGGGCTCTATTGATTATATAGTGAAAATGCATGGATTCTTAGAAAATCTTCTTCTCTGCTCCTAGGTATTAAATAAACTAACTAAGTGCATAGTTATGATGAAAAAGAGTGCCTGAACCAAAATTGTGAATTTTATGGCCCCAGGGTCAAGGGTTCTTGTGTTGGGGGGGCTCTATTGATTATATAGTGAACATCTATGAATTCTTTGAGAATCTTCTCTGCTCCTAGGTATTAAATAAACTAACTAAGTACATATTTATGCTGAGCAAAAATGCCCTTTCCAAAATTATGAATTTTATGGCCACAGGGTCAGGGCTCTGGCGTTAGGGCGGGGCTCTATTGATAATATAGTGAAAATACATTAAATCTTTGAAAATTTTCTTTTCTGTCT